GACCCAAAACTGAAGACTTTTCAACATTAACGAAGGCCAATAATATCTATAATAAACTTAATATATAATAGAGACAAATGTTTCAAATTGAAGATATTTTTGTTTTGTTTTATTTTAAAAAATGACTTTTAAAATTGAGTTATAAACTAGTTTTTAAAATTAAATTCTAGGAATAAAATCAAACCAAATCTACATCTCTAATTCCCAACACAATATGAGACACTACATTCCATGAAGTTTTTGGATGACGATGATCCAATGATTTTAAAATCATCAGAGAAGAACATAAGCGGGGAAAAAAAATCAAAAAGCTGTATGTCAATGAAGCACAATAATTAAAAAAAAAAAAGATGTGCGCGTAAATAACTTTAGGAAAATGCAATGGCCATTATTGGCCAACCTAGCTGGCTTTTTACATAGACCCCTGCCAGCTTTGCAGTCATTTGATCATAACGATTTATATTTGTTTTCTATTTTTTAATTTTAACAAAAAATTTAAATTATTTTGTAAATATGAACATAATTATTTAAATTTTTTAAAATTAGGAGAGAGAATAGACAACTAGATTATAAGATAAAATAATAATTTTAAAATTATCAATATAATTACAAATTTAAGTATTTTAGAATATTTAACAAAATATTTCTAACGACATTAACAATTGAACTAAAGTGTAGGTTTTAAAAATAAATAAGAAGTTTCTATAATTTAAGTAAAACATGTAGAAATGAAATCACTGTATTTTACTCTTTTCTTTTTGAAAAAGAAAACCATAATATCACCAAAGTAAATAAAGCTTTAATGTTCATCCACTTGCTAGAATAATAATAATAACAAGGGAAAATATAATTATTAATCTCTATAATTTTATTAAGTTTTACTTTTAGTCCCTGTGATTTTGTTTTTTTTTTTTGTTTTTTCAGTCTCTATAGTTTTAGCAAGACTAAGTGGCATTTATTACATTGGTCTAACAATATTAAGTTACAGGAATCATAAGGATTGAAAGATTGAAAACAAATTACAGGGACTTAAAAAAACCTAATAAAACTATATTATGGGTATCAATGATTGTGTTTTCCCTAATAACAACAATGACAACAATTTACCAAATAATACTAGTATTAGTAATTGGATTACACTTATACTAAGTCGACTTTAAAGTGCCCAATACTATGTTTAACTCACACTCGGATGAATTGACATTTTTCAACTTCGTTGGCCTATCAAGGTGCACAGTGCACGTGACCTATTCTTATAATTACTAACGGATTCAATTGCTTAAATTCCCATCTTAGAATATATGCATCAACTCTGCCTCCCACTTGAGCAAGGTAAGACTTTTCTTGCACACACACAAAAACTATAACAATTGCATCGTTATATATAAATTTCATATGGAGGAGCCTCATGCATGTCTTAAAATAGACTCTCCTTTTATATACTTTTGCTCATAACATTTTTACATTATTCTTCACGCTAACCCTTTCCAGGTATATAAGATTATACATTAATTATTTATTAAAAATTGAAAATGTTGTGACTAAATCTAATAAATTACTCCTCAATTGTTTTAGTCGGTGATATACACAAGGAACTAAGGATATATGAGTAATGAATTGTGAATATATTTAATCGGTGATAGACAGTTTAACTAACAAATTTGCCAAAGATACTTTTTTTTTGGCATCAATGTTTTTTAAAGATACTTTAAGAGCATGTTTGATCCATTAAGTGACATTGAATAATAATGAAAAGAGTATGTGTGAAGTTAAAATTAAATATCAAAAAGAGAAATAAAAAGTGATGATTGTATTGTCCTACAATGTTTAGTGCCATTGCTCCTTTTTGTTTTTGAAAATAAAGGTTACCGTTTTTTATTTTGAGGGATAAAGTTTTTTTTTTTTGTTTGCCAGCAATTTTGAGGGAGAGTTAATCACTGGATGTTTAAGAGGTTCTTATTCCTTAAAACTTACTCCTATTAAAAAATGTTATATTATATTTTGGGTCAATTATTATATTTGTATAAGATATCTTCAACATAAGTAGAAATTTAATAGGATATGATGAAATTTTCAAAGATAAACTAAATAGGGATGAGAAGATTTAGGATTTGTTATCGTTAACTGTTGTTAGAGCCCAAGAGTAGTCTTTAAAAGCAAATCAATAGACATTTCTTGTTATATGAGTTCATATTGGGGAGCTTTGCAAATAAAGTCTGATTTATAAATCTAGAGGGTTATTTCTTCCAATATGACAATAATCTTTTTTGGAATGGCTTGTCTCTTTAGATATTGATACTTTTATTGAGAGACCAATATTACAAACAAAACTCATGAAAGGTTTTGACCAGTAATAAATCAAGTGAAGTGCTATGAATCAAAGCTCTCATGCCCATCAGCTCTCAAATGTTATGAGTCCCATATATTAAAGAGTTTTCAAATAAAGTGTGGTTTATAAGTGAAAAAAAATATTCTTTTTAATGAACCAATCTTTTAGAATATGTTCTCGAGAGCATTCTTCACGCATTAATCTTGTCTAAGTTCACTTTCCATGACATTCACATAATTATTCCCTTTGAATGGGTTGTAAGCTATGAATATAATATAGTGTGATCAACAAGGACTAGCTAACCTTTGAGGAAGTACCTCTACTAAATTATAAACATTTCACTTATCTTTTTTTTTAATCAAAACTACACTTTTCCCCTCTTTAAAATTGTAATGGCTCCTCATAAAAAATGAATTGCCCCGCATTGACTTTAATATTATAAAGTATGTACATTTAAAATTTTTTTTACTCTTGTATTTATTACAAAAATAAATTGATGATACAAATAAAATTAATATATATTTTTAAACTTATAATAATTTGTATATTACTTTAATTAATATTTGGAGTTATATTTTTTTAAAAAAATATCAGTAAATTTTATATTTAGTATAAATATTGCCGGTCACAAGAAATAATCAGCCAATGTAAAAATTTAAGATATATATTACATAAAGATACTTTAAGTACAATTGACAACCAATGCTCTCGTAGAGGTGATTTTCTCAGAGAAGGACATTATATAAATAACATTTTAAAGTTGATAACATATATTAAAATATATATATATATATATATATTATTTTTTTGAACTCTTTTATATATATATTTATATAATACATTGATTAAAAATTGAAAATGTTGTAACTAATTCACACAAACCAGAGATGATGTGAGTGGTAAATGTTCTTTTCACTTAAACAAGTGCTGGAAAGTTGAATCTCCGTCCTTGTGCGTGTACCACTCTATTTTTCTTTTTCTTTTTATTTAATTTCAAATTTCAAAAAGCATTTATCACAGTTTTCCCAAATTATCCTGTATAAAATCAATATTTATGGTTACTAAACAAATTTTTTAATTAATTATAGGGAAAATTTAATCAAATTTTTTTAATTTTAAACATAATTATTATATTTAGCCAACTTTTTTAAACTGTATGAATTAATTATTTTTTCTTACATTTGAACATGGAGAGAAAAACAACTTAGTTGATTGGGAGAGGCCTACCCTTTATCTTCTTTGAGAGAGTTAATGTTTTTTTTTTTGGACCAGATGGGAGAGTTAACGTTTGCTGTTAGTGTTCAACTGCTTATATCATAAAAATAAAAAAGTAATGTTGGTCACCGACAGGGAGATTAACTGATACGTTTTACTTTTTGTTTTGACTGACTAACTAATACGTTTTCTAAAGATATGTTTTTTTTTTTTTTTGTGTAGGACTGAAGATATGTTATTTGACATTGAATAATGATGAAATAATCTGTGGTGAAAATATAAAAATAGAAGAATTAAAACTGATGATTGTCGGCCTACAATTTTTACTTTTTTTTTTCTTTTTTTTTTCAACTTTTTCTGACACTGCTCATCACTCCAAAATAGAGGAAAAAAGTTACGGTAAAAAAAATGGGAAGATAAAAGAAAATATGTCTCAAATGGTAATTGTAGTTTATAATTTTATTATGCAACGAACATAACAATTTTAATTGTGAATTCTCGTTGAGGGTTCATATTATGGGGATAAAAAAATCATACTAAGAAAATTACTGTTAATTGAATCCAACAATGCTCCGATCTAAGCAAATAACATTAAACATTATATAATTATATTAAAAAGATAAAATCTTTTTGTCTGAAATACATTAAAATCTGAATTGCTTAAAATAAATCAAAGGACAACAAATTTGAAGTTTTGTTCCTCAAATCAAAATTTTCGATACAACCAGATTTTGTTTTGTCTTTGCTTACATGAAAGAAATGGAGATAATATGGAATTTTCAAAGTTTGAGGTGATAATTTTATGCACTTTTCTTTCCAAACGTAAGACGTGCACGCATTTATGTTATCCCACTTTGGGCAAAAAAATTATGTTATCTCAACATTGACACGGCAATTAAATGTCTATCTCACACTGAAGAAACTACATTCCATGAAGTTGCTGGATGTCCATGGTGGTCCAGTCAATGAAGCACAATAATTGAAAAAAAAAAAAAGAGATGTAAGAAAATAATAATAATTAATAATGGCTTTAAAAAACTTTTCTTCGACTTTAGAACGCCCCGTCAATGAAGCACGATAATCAATATAAAAAACAGATGCGTAATGCAGTGGCCAACCTAGCCAGCTAGCTTTCTATAAAGACCCTGTCTTTGCACTCATTTGATGATAACTCTAATCATAAATTATTTACGATGGCATACTCCAATAATGTTATGTCAGCTCCTCCAACAATGGCTGTAGTCATGGTCTTATTTCTCTTTTATAATGCTGCTGCCTTTGTAGAGGAGGAGAAACATGCTTTGATTCAGAGCAAATGGTGGAATTATCATTATAGCAATGATAGCTACCGTAACGACTCGGTCGACCCCTGTGAGTGGAAGGAGATAATTTGTAATGAACTTGGAAGTATTACTCAGATTTCGACACCAAGTATCCCTCCACAGAAGCCTCGCCTTGCAGATCTAAACTTCACTGCATTCCCTAATCTAGAATACATATTTCTTGATCGGATGGGGTTGGTGGGTGGCATTCCAACTGAGATTGGAACTCTTCGCAATCTCAACTATCTGTCCTTCTTTGACAACAATATTACGGGTGAGTTTCCGTCCACACTTGTTTATTATCCTTAGTCGTTAAGCATTGTTGGATTTGATGAGTAGAAACCACGTTTTGACAAGCCTTTCTTTCAACTTTTGGGTTTTATAAGCAATCTTGACTACCTATACTTATTTAGAAATTCTTTTGTTCATTAAACCCTCTCATAATTTAATCTTTCATGATACCACAAGATCTTCATGAGGCCTTTCTTTCAACTTTGGGTTTTTCAAGCAATATCAGGTATTTATATTTGCTGTCAAATGCTTTTAAAAGTGAGGTCCCCTCTTCAATTTAATATTTGACCATATAAATGATTGATGGCTTTTAAAGAAAATATTAGTTTTATAACTAATAAATTTAGTCAGTCTAATTTGAGCTCTTATAATATTTCTAGACCTACTACTTTTCCTTCCAATAATTTTAATTTAATTTGTTTGTGATTGAAATTATATAGGTCATTCTGATTCAAATAGGTGCCTTTTTTTTTTAAATCACACTACTGTTTTATGAGTTTCAATAAATTTTTTCTAATTCTATTGGCCTGCCTTTAATTTGACTCAGTTTATGTGATGGATTTATAGGCACCATTCCAACTCAGATTAGAAGTCTTGGCAATCTCACCTATCTATACTTGTCTAATAACAATCTTACTGATGAGTTGCCTTCTGCACCTGTTAATTAGCTACAGTCATTTAAATTGATGGATTTGAGTGAAAACAAGGATTTGGTTAAGCCTTTCTTTCAACTTTGGGTTTTATGAGCAATCACAAGCATCTATATTTGTCCGATCAAATTATTTAAATTTGAGATGCTCTCTTCAATTCAATCATTGATGAAATTTTAATTTCAGCTTTATGGTTCTTAAATAAAATGTTAGCTTTATAACCAATAAGTTCAATTGAATTTGAATTCCAAAAATATTTTTGATCCAACCACTTTCCTTATAAATTTGATTTCATTTGTTCGTGATTGAAATTGCACGTATGGTTCTAACTCAGAATGGTTGGATTATTTGAGTAGTGGAAAAAAGTTTGGCAAAACCATTACTTCAAGTTTGGGTTTTATAACCATTCTGGCTCATTTATAATTGTTGGATTTGCGTGGAAACAAGGCTTTGGTGAAGCTTTTCTTTCAACTTTGAGTTTTATAAGCAATCTCAAGTACCTATATTTGTCCTCAAATTATTTTAAATCATGAGATGCCCTTTTCAATTTAATATTAAGAGAATGACAGTAAAGTTCCAAAAGAACAATTTAAATTCCCGACAAAATTGAGTAAAAAGTTATAAATATTAATTTAGACCGCTACAATAAAAATCTCAAATTGCAAACTAAGAGTTCAATGAATAATTTAAATGATTTATTTGTAGTTAGAACTTTTAAATTTGTAATTTTTTAAATTGATATTTAAACTATACATTTCAAAAATATTATTGATGACCTAATTGTCATTAATTCCCTCATTTGGGACTTAACTATGTCTTTCCCCTTTAATATTTGATGAAATATATTATAGAAGATCTTGATGGTTGTTAAATAAAATATTAGTTTTATAACTAACAAATTTAGTCATTCTAGATCTTATTAGAATTTAGATTGTTTGCAATTACAATTATAGGTACCATTATGACTCAAATAGGAGCTCTTCAAAATCTCACTCAATTACAATTGTTGGATTTGAGTGGAAACAAGTTAAGTGGAATCATTCCAACTCAGATTGGAAGTCTTAGCAATCTCACTTATCTACGCTTGTCTAATGACAGCCTTACTGGTAAGTTGCATTATTTCCACAAGCCTCATCACTCAGTTAGAATTGTTGGATTTGAATTGAAACAAGGCTTTCGTGTTGTCTTTCTTTCAACCTTGGGTTTTATGAGCAATCTCAAGTACTTATATTTGTCCTCAAATTATTTTAAACGTTAGTATAACTAACAAATTCAATCAAATGAGTTCCTATATATTTATGGTCTTAATGTACTTTGCCCCTAAGGTGAACAACCCTAGGTGGTTGGAGTTGATATCTTTTTTGTGTACCAAAAAAAAACTTAATGAAATAGGGAAATAATTTAAAAAATAAATTATTCAACATGATTTATGCTTTTTCCCCTTAAATTTTATTAATTTGAACACAATATTTTTTAAATTATTTATATAAATATTGTCAAAATTATTTAAAGTTTCTAAAAATGAGAGGGGAGAGAGTAGAGAATTGAATTACAAGGGCCAGTTAATACTTTTAAGTTTTTTAACATAATTAAAAATAAAAAGTTGAAATATTTTAGAATCTTTAACATAATATTAGTAATGATATATTTAAAAATTAGATTAAAGTGTATATTTTAAAAATAGAAAAGAAGTGTTTGTGATTTTAGGGGGGAAAAAAGTGATGTCATTGCATACACCATACACATTGACACATGATTCCGGAAGATGCAAGGCGGTCGTCAACAATAAGTCCTCTCTGCTCTCTCCCAATGATCATATGGAGAGTTTTTGGCCACGGTCACTTGGTACATTACCTACTTCGAGGAAACTTTGAAAAAGGAAAAAAAGAGTTACAATAGTAAAATGTAAAATACTATGATAGTGACTACTGTTTTTATGAGATTACAAAATTTTAAACATGAAATCCCCTCTTCAATTTCACAAAATTTTAAGAGCTTGATAGTCCTTAAATAAAATATTTGTTTTATAACTAACAAATTCAATTGAATATGAGCTCCTCTATATTTATGATTCTAATGTACTTTGCCTTTAAGGTGAATAAGCCTAAGTGGTTGGAGTTAATATCGTTTTGTGTACAAAAACATCTTAATGAAATAGGGAAATACTTAAAAAAAAAGAGCTATTCAATATGATTTATGCTTATTTTTCCTTAAATTTTATTAATTTGAAAACAATATTTTTAAATTATGATATAGTTTGTTCTGCAATTGAAATTGTAGGTACCATTCCAACTCAGATTGGAAGTCTCCAAAACCTCATCTATCTAGACTTGTCTAGCAACAATCTCATTGGTCAGTTACCTTTCATACTTGTTAATTAACCTCATTCATTTAGATTTGTTAAATTTGAGAGGAAACAAGTTTTGATGAATTAACTATTCCTTCAACTTTGGATTTTATAAGCAATCTAAAATACACATATTTGTCCTTAAATTCTTTTGCACATGAAACCCCCTCTCAAACTTTATCTTTCATGAGATTACAAGATCTTCACACTTGTATTTTAGTAGCGATCTTAAGTACATATATTTGTATTGTCAAGTGCTTTTAAACGTGAGATGCACTATTTAATTTAGTTACTTTGATTTGAGTTTCAATAATATTTTTGGTCCTACTCCTTTGCCCCTAATTTTGATTTAATTTGTATGTGATTCAAATTATATATAGGAAACATTCCACTTGAGATATTTGCTCTTCAAAATCTCACTCGTCTATACTTGAATAATAATAAACTTATTGGAGGCATGCCTTCTGCACTTACAATTAACGTCACTCATTTACAACAATTGGACTTGAGTGGAAACAAGTTTGGTGGAGCCATTCCTTCAAGTTTGGGTTTTATAACCACTCTTAGATATTTGAACTTGTCTTCAAATATGTTCATTGGAGAGATACCTTCTTCAATTTCAAATTTGGAAAGACTAGATATTCTTGATTTTTCCCACAATCAATTCATTGGTCTCATACCCCAAGATATTGGGAAATTAACAAGTTCGGAAGCTTTAAACTTGACCAACAATCTTTCTGGCCTTATTTCTGTGATTAAAGGTATCACATATTTGAGATCTTTCAATATATCAAAAAACAATATATATGGAATCATTCCTCGAGAAATCGGAGATCTCTTATATCTTGAAAATCTAGATCTCTCACAAAACAAGCTTGTTGCAAGTTTACCAAACTTGCAATCATTGAAACTTTTGGTTGCCAACTTTAGTCACAACATGATTAGTGGTGAGATACCACCGAGCTTTTGCACATATCAACATATGTCACGCATAGATTTGAGCTACAATAACATCACTGGTAACATACCAAAAGAACTTGGTCAGCTAGAATTCATCAACTTGTCATATAATTCCCTTAATGGCCATGTCCTAAAGGAAGTATATTATAAATTTCCTCATGACATATTGAATGGTAACAAAGAGTTATTACTTGGTCTGGAGAAGAATCATTATTTCTCTAATCATATAAATATACATTATCACATGAAGATCATTCTTCCTATGACAATTTTTCTTGTCATTCTCTTTACTTTTGGATTCTTCCTTTTTCGGTCTTTGGAGAAAAACAAGATAACAAAAGTTGAGATAAGAGCACCAAATAATGGAGATTTATTTTCCATATGGAATTTTGATGGTAAAATTGCATATGAAGATATCATTGAAGCAACAGAAGACTTTGACATCAGATATTGTATTGGAATTGGTGCTTATGGAAGTGTTTATAGGGCACAACTTTGTAGTGGCAAAATTGTAGCGTTGAAAAAGCTTCATAAAAAAGAATATGAAAATCCATCTTTTGCTAGAAGTTTTCATAATGAAGTGAAATTGATGACTAAAATCGACATTGTGACATTGTAAAACTTCATGGATTTTGCTTGCACAATCTATGCATGTTTCTCATCTATGAATACATGGAAAGAGGAAGCCTCTTTTATGTACTGAGTAAAGAAGATGAAGCTAAAGAGTTGGATTGGACCAAGAGGGTGAATGCCATTAAAAGAATAGCAAATGCCTTATTCTACATGCATCATGATTGCGCACCTCCAATTATCCATCGAGACATAACAAGTACTAATGTATTGTTAAACTCAAAGATGGAAGCTTTTGTCTCTGACTTTGGCATAGCTAAAATCCTTGATCCCAATTCATCCAATTAAACTCTTCCAATGGGTACTTATGGTTATATTGCTCCAGGTAAGTTTTCTTTTTTTTTTTTGCCCTATTATCCTCTTATTGTCTTGTGTCATGTTCTATATAATTAATTTTTGGTTTATTTATTGTAGAACTTGCATACACTTTAGTTGTGACAGAAAAATGTGACATTTATAGTTTTGGAATGGTGGCATTAGAAACAATAATTGGAAGGCATCCTGGAGATTTAATACTATCTTTGATAGAGATCTCTAATCAAAGCATTTTCTTAAGAGATGTCACAAACTCAGGTCTCCCACTTCCGTTACAAAGAGATGCTCAAGATGTGATTCTTTGTGTCACAATAGCACTAGCATGCTTGCATCCCTCACCAAAATCTCGACCAACAATGAAGCAAGTCACTCACAAGCTCTCATTTTCCAACCTTGGATTAACTGTTCCATTCAATGACATTTCACTCCAGTCTTTGATAAATCAAGATATTTTCTAGTATATACAAGGCCAGGAGAAGTTTGATATATGTTTTATATCTTTTGGTAACTAAAAAATATATGTTCATCTCCAATAAAAGCAGTTGTTGGGCTTATTTTTTTTTTTTTCTATTTATAGGCTAGGATAAATATGTTTGGCAAACAAAAATAGGATATCTTATTCAAATAGCATCAGAAGAAACGTATGCAATGCTGTCAACATTTAAATAATTTTACGATATAAAAGGTCTAAAAGAGTCAAACCAAAATTCATAAGATTGTAGATTAGGAACAATCACAAATTGTTCAAAAACATCATTTTGTTCTGAAAAATTAAAAAGACACTTTTGATATATTTTGGTGATTTTATCTCTTGTATAGATGAAAACAGAAAACGTGTTTTTACATGTGTATGGCAGATTATCCCCTTGCCTCAGTGTCGATATTTTCTTATCAGTTTTTGTCTTTTTATCCACAAATATATTGAAGAAATGGGTTACAAAATCACATAGCTTGCTTGCTTGGTAAAGCCAATTTTCTTTTATAGTCATTCGAAAATTTTGCCATATGGTGAACTTGATTATCTCGACTACTTTCTGGATAATTCATTTTTTTTCTTGCGATCCCATTTGATATTTTAACACCCAAACTAACAAGTGAGGTGGAGAATATGAGAACAAAAGAAGAGCCTAAAAATCTTAGCCGTTCATATAGAGGAATTATATTAAATTGCTTTGACCACCAACTGAAATGAAGAACTAAGATTTTGGGCCTTCGATGGGATAATAGAGAAGGCAACAAGAACCTCAAATCCCGAGGTCAATGAATGTGAAATTTAAATGATAAATAAGTGTTGAATTGGAGGGGAAGATGATGGGTGATAGTTATTTTGCATTGTTCAGAGGTAATATTATCGATTGAAATTCTTGTGAGGCATGGTTACTTATATTATCAATTATTATCATTTATGTTGTGGCTTTTGGTTGTACATTTCTCTTCTTCTTTTTTTTCGGTTCTCTTTTTGGTTTGTTCATTGCGTAGAAGATTGGAGCATAAGGTTATAGATGATTTAGGGGATATAAAGGATTGAAGTAATGTAATTGGGGGGCTATTAGTCGAGAAAAAACATAAAGAGGTAATTAAAGGATATCATTTTCAAGCATTTTATGTTCAAGTTTTTTGTTCAACTATTAACTTAGCTATAGGACATTTGGAATAGATCAAGCCTAGTTTGACAAAATGATACACACACATAGTTACTGTTGTCACCGTTACTCCGACCAGCTTGCGCTTTTTAAATGGAACAATAGCTAGCTGTTCTTGAGTTCAGTTTTTATTTCTAATTTTATATGCACACACACACACACACATTGTTGTTTACAGTGTTGTTTGCTTACTATTGTTACCTCGAGAATTTGCAACATTTAGCAATGGTCTTGGAAACTGATTCTTTATATGTACATAAAAAAATATAGGCACATGTGGCATAGAAATTTTAAAAAAATTAAGAAAAATTATGAGAGCAAATGTAACCAAAAGTTTGAGTATTAAATAATTTTTTTTAATAAAAGTCTTTCATTATTTATATAGAATTTGTAGAAATTTTTTATATGACCAGAGAGTCTCATAAGGCTGACGTATGTAGTTTTAATTTGGATGCTTTTAATGGAAATGATAGGTCGAAGAAGAACTTGAATCGACGTGCAGAACATTCAAGCTAACTTTACTTTCTTTTATGGATTTACGATCAATTTGATGAAGAAAAAGATGTCGACATGGAAGGTTTGATAAAAGAGGAAAAAGATTTGGCAAAGAGAATGTTCATAATAGCACTCTAGTGTATATAACTAAAATCCATTAATCGTCCTTCAATAAATAAAGTAATAGAGATATTAGAAGCAGATGATGTTAAAAGTCTTGAAATGCCTCCAAGACCTTCTCTATATCCAGCTGAAACATTTTTTATGGATGAAGGTTTTGACTCTGGCCAAACAGCATCCACTTTCTCTTTACATTCTCATAGCATACGTAGTCCCAATGGGGGTGCAAATGATGGGAACTAATAATAGCTTGCAATTGAAAAAGGGGGTTGTCATGATACATGATGAAGGAATAACTGAATGGGTAAGCAATAAAGATCACGTGTCAAGTGAATGGAGAATGATACATGCTTATGGTGAGGTTGCTATAGAGGTAGTGTGGCACGTGGAATGTGAGTGGAGCAAGGCGGTTACACTATATTATGAGCAGAGGCTAAATGGTAAGGGGTGTGGAATATATTGTGATGCTTTCTCTCTGGTCCTACATTTTGGAATTTCTCTCTCTCTGTGACATTTCTATTCCCTTCTCTTTCTGCATTTTCTTTCACGTTGGTAAGCTTGTAATCTGATATTTGAACCTTCTATCAGTATTTTGGGGATAAATTTCTACAGCAATCAGATTACCTGTGCTTATATTATCAATTCTTGGATTTGATTTGCTGGTGATTATGACAGAGATCAAAGATACTAGTAATATCTTCAACTTATCAATTTGCATTTGATAACAATTCTTGGTCAGTGCCTTGGTTTTATTTTGTTTTATATAGCATTTTATTTTCATTTTTGATAATGATAATAAGACGTAATGATATGTACAATGACTATTAATCTCTTACAAGTTCATAATCTATCATGTGATATATCATTCTCATAGAAGTGTACTAGATGAAGATACAAGTGATGAGAAGTAATATTTGGCAGCTGGAACCAAAAAAAAAAAAAAACAGATACGTTACTATTAAAGTTTCAGTTATCAAATTTGTACTTTATTCAACATTGCTATATGTTATTACCCTGTTTTAGGTGTCACTTTAATAATTTAGCTTGTTATTTTCATGCTTAATGATGATATATGATTTACAAATATCTCTTTCAAGCTCATAATCTCCTGTGATACATAGTTGGAAAAATAATCACTAGTCCACATCTTTAATATAAGCACATATTCATTTCTCAGTCATAATTATTATAAATTGATTCTTATATTTGAAATTATCAAAATATACATATCATTCATTCTGAGGACTAACATTATTGTGTATGATTTTTCTAATGAATATGGAAGTACATATTGATCCTAGCAAGAAACGAACCAACATATATTTGGTTCTCAAGTTTGCTTTATAACACTAAATTTCTTCTTAGTTTAATATTAAAATGCTCTCCACAAGAATTAAATCGAAATTAATGAACTGCATTTAACAAAAACATGAACATTAAGCATAACATTTCATAGTCTTTGAAACATTTTTTTTTTGTGCACAAAGTATCTTTTTTATTGAAAGTTATGTTATTTGAAGCATGGTCAGACATTAAACGTGAGCAACTTTTTTTAGTAAAAATGAGAATATTAGCTCACTAGGTTGTGAGAGGCTAGGTTCTTCTGCCAAATCCAACCACTTTTAATTAGTCTTCGGAACATTTAGTGGTTGAAAAAAAAAGGAATCATAGATCTAAGCTCCCTCTAGCTGTTATAAAAAAAAAAAAAGGAAAATATTGATAGTTGCATTATGTTGTATGTGAAATCTTCTGTAAAAGATAGCTTTAGGAATGTATGTGGCCTAAGGAAAGTCCTTGTGGTAGTTTAATCAACTGAATTAAGCCTTTCATGTAGTTTTAGTGAAAAGGTTAAACCATGCATGAAACTCAAATTATCGCATTGATGCATGAATTAAAAAAAAATCATTTCTTTTTTTTTTTTGCTAACAAAAAGTTCTTTTTAGATGAATGGGGTCCCAACTCTAAGAGCTTGCTAGGGTCAGAGTATACTTTCAAATTCAATGAGTGCATATAGGAATACTTATAGATTGTCTATCAACAATTTCTAACATTGACAATGAGATTTGATTCATGACTTTGTAAGTGATGGGCTAAATCCTTACAAACTTGACTAACCTTTGTTAGTTATTAATCACCTACTTCATTAGCCCTTGTGTTGGGCTCATGGGCTAAGAATAATTCATTTACATTTATATTGCTACGTACGATTGAATTTGTGGACCTGATCTAGCAATGAGTCAATAAACTGGCACCAAAATAATATAGTAATATTAAAATATTATTAAAATAATATAATATAATTAAAGCATTAAAAAATATTCATTTTTAAATATATATATATATATATATAATATTTAAATAAAAACGTCGGTAAAACGGAATATTCATCCATAAAATCTTATGCATATATCTTGTACAAATATTAATTATAATTTTATGACAATAATAAAATAAAATAATGTTAAAAATCTTAATTAAGGGATTTAAATTAGATTTAAGGTTTAGAATTCAAAACAAAAAGGGAAGAAAAATAAAAAGGAAAAAAATAATAAAATAATAAAATCCAACCTGGGTGAACCCATATTTGATTTCTGAATGCCAGCAATTCCAAACTGAAGCCTACTTTTATATATTCATCGATAGATATTTACCCTCCACAGAATGAAATCCAGATTGGTACAATATTATAGTGTATGTTAGAAAATAATAGAATTCGGATCCAATAAGTGGAAAAAATCTATTAATAACTGAATAAATGTCTAATGTGGCACAATAGCAGTCCTCATTTTAATCAAATGACTATTGGAGCTTTTCTCATATGATATGCAAAAAACACCAAGACTCATCTATCATATCAGATCATATATGTGTTGTTCTAAATTTTTGGAGAAACATGCGTTAGAGGTGTTTTGATTGTTAGAGTTACACTAAATTTTTGTAAAGAAAATGTATTTTAATAATTGTTATGCATTAATGAATTCT